TCAGGTATGGGGTTAGTCAGTGATTTCAGATATATCACTGGAGCATTATCATTTATATCAGTGATTTCAATCATTACTTTGGAATCAGATGAAAGTCCATAACCATCTTTAGCATCAATGCGCATTTCATATTTAGAATTACTCTCAAAATCAAGTGGTCCTATGATCTTTATCTCTCCGGTTTTACTGTTAAGTAAGAAAACCTTTTTAGCCCTTTCTGAGATGCGGCTAAACTCATATGTGACTTCCCCATTGACTCCATTGTCTGCATCAGTAGCACTTACAGTGATGACAACAGTATCAAGGGGAGAGTTTTCAGGTAAACTGGCTTTGTAGAAGGCTTGGTCAAACACCGGGGCGTTATCATTAGCATCCAACACGCTCACGATGATATTGGTTGTTCCTGATCGTTGTGGATTACCACCATCAACGGCAATCATTAAGAAATGTAATTCCTGTTCTTTTTCGCGGTCCAGCTCTTTGTCTAACACCAACTCGACGTTCTTAGATCCATCAGAATCCTCTCTGACAGATAAAACAAAGTGTTCGTTATTTTGTAAACTGTATTGTTGAACTGTATTTTGTCCGATGTCAGCGTCATGTGCTTCATTAAGGCGATACCGTGCTCCTGCGTTGGCTGATTCGCTTATTTCCAGTTTTATTGTATCTTTCGGGAAAAGGGGTGAATTGTCGTTTTTATCCTGGATGAGCAGTGAAATGCGGTGCAGCTCCAATGGGCTCTCTAGGACTAATTCAAATGTTAGCATACACGAAGCCTTCTCCCCACACAGCTCCTCTCTATCAATCCTTTCCTTCATGACAAAATGTCCTGTCTTTAGATCAATATCGCAGTAGTGCTGGTAGCTCTCCTCCATTTCAATACGAGCTCTGCGAGTGAACAATTCTCCTACTTCCAGCCCGAGGTCCTTGGCGATATTTCCAACAATGGATCCAGGTGTCATCTCCTCGGGAATAGAATAGCTGAGGTCTGCAGTGATGATGTGAATGAAGACAGCAAAGCTGCAGAATATGTTCACCAACGATTGACCTTTGAGATCCATTGTTTCACCCGAAATATGATGAGGACAAGCAAAATGTCCCGTGTTGCGGATACAACTCAAATATACTGGTAAAAATAAAGTACGTCGTTCCTACAACAATGGCAACTCCCCGTTAAATGCTTGAATTACTCCTTTTGCAGTGGGTGGAGATATGAACCTCTTTATATCTGCGAGTCAGCAGCGACGCCGTGAGTTAATTTTGAATATTACATATAAACAATTACGAGACCAGAATAAGAGGCCACAACTGCTGCAATCATCGACACTGCAAAGCAAAAAGTGAAACAATTTCACTGGGATGTTTTGGGTTTGATGTTAGTCGGCGCATTTAGGGAAACACTATTAAGTTCCATGGACAGCATATGAACGGCAATGAGTAGCCATAAAGCTATCCATCATTTAACGTTTCTGTTCTTAAAGTATAAATAATATGGTGTGATCATTAAACATGAAATAGGATTCTTGTCTTAGGCTGTATTACAACATTTACAAACTGAGAACGGTTAAACTTGTTTGAATATAAAACATCCCCAAGGCCTGCGAAATAAATCGATATTATTTGTTATATATGCACTCAAAATATAATAAGAGTCTATTTTATTTTATCTGTGAATCATTCGGTTGTTAATAACAAAACCATGTAACTATGAAGTCCAATATGTATTTCTGTTAGTTAGGCAATATCTGAGGGCCACTTAATAGGCTCAGCAAGCTTCACTGAACAAATGGTAATCTTCCAGATATAGAATTATCTAAAACGTGAAAGAAGCTGATCATCAATATCACATACAACAATCACTTGAAATGTAACGCATGTATCGCATAACCCTTGTGTTTCTAAAAAGTAATAAATATACAGATTGAAACAATAATTACTGCTACTTTAAACTTTATGGATTAAAGGACCAAATAATGGAATGTCAAAAATCAAGAGATGAATGCAATGGGAAGATTGCGGTCAAACATATGCAGAAACAATTGATTTGTTTGTATGCAGTTGTCTGCTGTCATGGTAAAAACCAGGCTAAATATAGTTGAAAATAAAAACAATTTTAGATAGGTTAAATGTAACAGTTGCTGAAACAACATGACTTCATATCAATGTGTCGTAGGTCCTTTACATTTCAGTGTATATTTAATAGAAAATTATATGTTAAGTAACACGTTTTTTCATCTGCCAAATACTAAATGTACGAATAATTTCCCTTCATATAATAAAGCATCCGGAAACTGTGAAAAAAACTGTATTGAATGAAACTCAAACACTGGAATAAGTGTCACCACCAGGCAAAATTAAACAGGACCTAATATATGTAAGAAATCAAAACACTGAGACACCGGTCATCCAAATATGGACGCTTATGCCAAAAAAAAAAAAAAATCAAACAGCACAAGTGACTCGTGGTTTAAATTATTCAATGCATATTTAAACATTTTCAAGAATGCTTATTTGAAGTGGATGTCAAAACTATTTTAACACAATCAAAGTTAAATGTAAGATACACAATTGTAAGAGGCCTACCTCAGGAGACTCATCTGGGACACCAAACACTTCAGTGAAGTCTGATGGACTTTTCCTCAGAGTCTGGTCAGCAGGCAGTGTGTT